TAGTGGCAATGTTGTGGCTTACTATTTCGCTTTTTAGTGTATGTCCTATTTACTAGCTATCGCTTTTGCTTTGCATCTTTCCTCTAGATTTCGCGGTGTTCCTATTTTTTTTATGATTGTTGTGGCGATACTAATATTTACTAATATTGTCTCCCTTAGCTTTGCATCTTTCTTCTGGATTTCATGGTGTTCCTATTTATCCTATGAGTGTTGTTGTGATACTAATATTGTCTCCCTTTTTGTCCTTTTGTCTTTGTTTTTTTTTTAGCCGAGGGTCTTTCGGAAACAGCCTCTCTACTCCTTCGGGGTAGGGGTAAGGTCTGCGTACACACTACCCTCCCCAGACCCCATTAATGAAATTTTACTGGGTTGTTGTTGTTGTTGTTGTTGTTGTTCTTTGAGCGAGCATTTTTGTTAAAAATTTCAGGCTAAGGAAAATTGAACCTAAACCGCCCTTTGCAATAATATTCAACTAAGCCATTGGGTCAAGGCATTCAGCTAGTAGGAAAGTGATATTAAATAATATTTATTTATTTTAATATAAATACGACACCGCTTACAAAAAGTCATGTGTACGCCCCTAAATAACACTAAGCAAGAACTATTGGTAAGGGAAACAAAGAAGATACTCTAGGTTCGAAGGACATAAAAACTGAAGAATTTGTTCAATCTATCAACTGCATATGTGGATCTAGGATTCAAACTTAATAGGAGTTGACTTTTAAGTTCTTAGCACCGATTTATTGTACTTTTGAAATTATGATTCAAATATAATATTTGTTAAAATTCAAGTAATTTTTACCTATATATCTATGTTTCACATATGCTTGGTTGCGATGAACATGTTGAACATAAGGATAAAATAAACATAATACCATTGCGAACCGATAATGTATAAAAGGAAAGAAAAACTAACATAATAACTACTAGTCCCCGTTTTAATTTTTGTGAACCTATTTAACTAGGCAAAGAGTTTAAGAAAAAAAAAATTTAAACTTATAGTGTAAAATGAGACACATATATTTTGTATGGTTATAAATTATTATTTAAAAGTAAATTATTTCATAATATGACAACAACAACAACCAAGTATAATCCCACTAGTGGGTCTGGGGAGGGTAGTGTGTACGCAGACCTTACCCCTACCCTGGGTAGAGAGGCTGTTTCCAATAGACCCTCGACATCCTTACCTCCAAGAACTCCCCACCTTGCTCTTGGGGTGATTCGAACTCACAATCTCTTGGTTGTAAGTGGAGGGTGCTTACCATCAGACCAACTCACCCATATTTCATAATATGACAACAACAACAACCAAGTATAATCCCACTAGTGGGTCTGGGGAGGGTAGTGTGTACGCAGACCTTACCCCTACCCTGGGTAGAGAGGCTGTTTCCAATAGACCCTCGACATCCTTACCTCCAAGAACTCCCCACCTTGCTCTTGGGGTGATTCGAACTCACAATCTCTTGGTTGTAAGTGGAGGGTGCTTACCATCAGACCAACTCACCCATATTTCATAATATGAAATGAATAATTTTTTTTGGTACTAAATAAAAAAAAATAGGTTCATATAAATTAAGATGGAGGGAGTTTAACATTAAGTTGAAACCAGAATATAATCCAAACAATGAATAGTTCCACGTCTTAGTTCTTACAAAGTAAAAAGGCATGACCTTCTTTGACGTGCAGAAGAAATATGAGTTGTAAATGAAAATACGAATTTCTTTATGCTAATATAATTCTCACCTGAATTTCTCAATTTAGATCAGCTTCGACGTTTATTTTAGTGATCTTTCTAAGCTTTAAAAGCTTGCCGTCATGAGTATAGAACAGGGAGACCTGAGAAAGAAGGATGATTGTATCCACATACATATAGAACTTTGAGAAGTGAGAAAGTCAGACTTGCAGAAGTTAGACAAGTGGAATAGACATTCACCGATATATAGAACTGTGAGATGTGAGAAAAAAAAAAAAAGGGAAGAAAGCTTTCACCCAAATCTATTTGATGTTGATTCATAGGTCCTTTTAATTTAGAATAATTTACAAAAACCTCCCGTTAAGTGTGGTTTCATACTATTAACCTCCTTTACGGTTTGTGATATTACGGCTCTCTCTCATATGTTAATTTATTTGTAATAATTGTTTCAAAATATTTATTATTGATGTACAATAATTAGAATTTGACTGGTTTGCCCTTTCTAATATTATTACACTTTTTTATTAGTAATTAATTTTTAGCAATATACTTTATTGAGAAATATTTTTGCAGCCTTAAAATCAATCAGATCTGCTCATCACCTAGGTTGCTTACGACCTTTGCACACCAATCCCTCCCTTTCTTGGACATTGCAGGTGCCGGAGCCGGAGATGGTTGATTAATTCCGGTCAGCGGCGATGACTCAGTTTCTGATTTGGCCTGAACTCAAATACCCACGTGCAAAAAGTAGATTTTCTGACCAAATTTCGAACTCGTTAAGAGAATCAGGGGAAGTTGAGTTGCTAGAAGTGGAAGAAGCCGAAACTAATTCCATTGCTGACTTCCTGAGCCCATTCATCATATGAGTCAAATAATGATAAAAGGTGGCATTCAGTTAAAAGAGAATCAGTGGCGTGATACGCACCAGCTTACATTTTATGGAGATTGTGAAATAATTTGTTTTTTTTTCTTTTTTCCTTCTTTTTTCTTTTGTTTTTGATGTTTAGTAAATTTTTAACATTTTGTCTAAGACACTTATAGGCCTAACCCACTCACTAAACAAGTCATTCATAAAATATTAACGAAAATAATAAGAATACTGAAATAAATGAGTTTAAAAGTCAAATAAGCATAGATAAATACCAAAACAATACAATAATTCCAGAAACTGGTAACATTGAGTCATGAGCTCTAAGATAAGAATATAAATCTGTTAATATAATACACTGTTCGAAACAATAACATTAATGATAGGATATAAGGAGACCCCAGAGACTGCAATCAGGGTGCAGCTCTACCTCCAGTCTTCGCAGCAACCGCTACAACTCTTAATGCTCTGCTGAGTCCAACTCCTAGATCTGCACAATTAAGTGAAGAGCATAGTATGACTGCAATCGACCCCATATACTCAGTAAGTATCATGACTACTGAGTTCCGTAACAACAAACCGAATCTGATACCATCAAAGTCAACTCCCGGACAAACTTATGAATTTTCCAAATCTTCAAATTGCCAACTTTCAGCAAATAGAGCCAAAATATTCTAGGAACCTCCAAATTCAAAGTCGGACATACGCCTAAATCAAAAATCATCATACTAATAAGTGGTGATTTTAGCACTTATTCTAGTTCCTTTTGCTTTAGTTTTTGTATTCTTTAATTAGATATGAGATTTTATGGTGTGCATTGATTTTCAAGTATAATGAGTCATGAAGAGAATAGAAATCAATTGAATTGGAAGTTAGCAAAAAAGAATTGAAAAAGTGAAATCGCATCTGTGCAAAACTGATTGCATCTGCGAGGAATAGTCTGCATCTGCGAAAGGAGAATTTTCTTTTTTAGAATAGTTTATGATATTATTTTTGACTAACCTGCAAAGTTTCAAATTTTTTGGAGTTGAATTGAGGAGGTTGAGGTGCCGGAGATAAGCCAAAACAGTGGCTGCCCAGTTCTGTCAATCAGAAACCTGGTGCAACTACACATGCGAAAAATTGTGCATAGATGTGGCACCACAGAAGCGCTCAATGCACCGCAGATATGACATTTGCGCAGAAACGAAAATAAAATCGCAGAAGCGGTTAAAATTCGGCAGATGCAGTTTGTCGGGTAAGTTTAAAGAATCAACATCTCTTCAACAAGTAAAATTGTGTCGTTCGGTAGTTTGAAGCCTTGAGTAGCTTCACTTCATGTATTACGACTTGTACTTGTGGTCAAAATTGGATTTTGGAAAGTTCGAAGTTGATTCGGAAGGAAAATTCTCAATCGAGAAGCTTTAAGTTGGAAGAGATAACCAAGGGTTGACTTTTGAGCAAACAACTTCGAAATCGGGATGTGGGGGTTCCAATAAGTCCGTATGATGATTTCGGACTTGGACGTATGTTCGGGTTGAGTATCGGGTGGTCCGAAAACATTTTGGCGCTTATTATGGAAGAATGGCATTTTGGAAGTTTAAGAATTTCTTAAGTTTGATTTGAAGTGAATTTTGATGTTATCGATATCCGTTTGGGGTTCCGAGCCTTGTAATAGGTTCGTATCGTGAGTTGTGACTTGTGCATAAAGTTTGTTTTCATTCCGGGATGTGTCCAAACAGAAGAGTTATTATGATCGGAAGGATCGCAATGTTGCATTCATGGTCGGGGAGTGGGTCTTGCTCCGGGTTTCGCCTATGAAGGGCGTTATGAGGTTCGGGAAGAAGGGCAAGCTAAGCCCACGTTTTATCGGCCCATTTGAGATATTGCGGCGTGTTGAGGAGGTTGCTTATGAACTTGCCTTGACTCCCAGTCTAGCAGGAGTCCATCCAGTATTCCATATTTCTATGCCCCGGAAGTATCACAGTGATCCGTCTCATGTATTGAATTTCAGCTCAGTCCAGTTGGACAAGGATCTATCTTATGTTGAGGAACATGTGGCTATTGTGGACAGGCAGGTTCGAAAGCTGAGGTCAAAGAACATTGCTTCCGTGAAGGTTCAGTGGAGAGGTTAGCCGGTCGAGGAGGCGACTTGGGAGATCGAGCATGTTATGCGCAATCGTTATCCTCATCTTTTCACCACTTCAGGTATGTATTTATGCTCATTCGAGGATGAATGATTATTTTAAGAGGGGAAGGATGTAACGATCCAGCAGGTCATTTTGAGAGTTATAGCCTCGATCCCCTATTAACTGCTTCTCCCATATCTATTTCTGCTATTGTGACTTGCCGGGAGGTTTCGTTTTGGGTTTTTTTTTTGAGTGTTTTGGGACACTTAGTCCCTAAAATAGAGATTTAATCCTTAGGATTTGGACCGTAGTCGGAACTGTGTGAAGACGACTCCGGAATGGAGTTCTGTCGGTTCCGTTAGGTGATTTTGGACTTAGGGGCATGCCCGGATAGTGTGTTGGAGGTCTGTAGCTCATTTAGGCTTGAAATAGCGAAAGTTGAAGTTTTGAAAATTTGGACCGGTAGTGAAATTTTGATACCGGGGTCGGATTTCGATTTTGAAAGTTGGAATAGGTCTGTAGTGTTGAATACGACTTATGTGCAAAATTTGGGGTAAATCGGACGTAGTTTGGTTGGTTTCGACATCGGTTGTCAAATTTGGAAGTTTCAAGTTCTTTAAGATTGAATCGGGGGATGATTTGTGATTTTAGCATTGTTTGATATGGTTTGAGGGCCCGACTAAGTTCGTATGGCGTTTTAGGATTGGTTGGTATGTTTAGTTGAGGTCATCGAGGGCCTCGGGTGTGTTTCAAATGCTTAACGGATGGAAAATTTGACTTATGTAATTTCTGATGTTGTTGGTTTCTGGTGTTTTGCACCTGCGCTGGGGAGACCGCATGTGCGTGCTCGCACATGCGGAGAGAAGGGCACAGGTGCTCTTTTGGTCATAAGAGCCTGTGAGTGCAAATGCAAGATGAGAGTCGCATCTGCGCATCCGCAGATGCGGTGTAGTGGTCGCAGGAGCGGGTTTGGGGAGGAAGCTGAGGTGGCCAAGTTTCCACAGAAGCAGACAATTGAGCACAGAAGCGCGTCCGCGGGTGCGGAGGTTAGTGCACAGGTGCAAAGCGTGGGAGTTTAATGAAACTCCGCAGGTACATAGTCTTAGCCGCAAAAGCGGTACCGCAGGTGCGGTTGAAGGCTCGCGGGTGCGAGTTTACTGGCAGAAAAGACCTAAGTGCGAGGGTTTGATTTCATTCTTCATTTTTGGACTTGAGAGCTCGGAAATTGGCAATTTTTTGAGGGATTTTCAGAGGAAGATTTGGGGTATATTCCTCTAATCTATGGTTGATTTCATCATCTAATTAAGAAATTTGGTTGAGAAATTTGGGGGGAAATGGTAGAGGTTCTTCAACTAAGATTTTGTTTGGTCTTTGATTGGGATTTTGGCATCGGATTTGGATGATTTTTGTATGAGTGAACTCATGAGTGAATGGGTGTTTACATTTTGTGACTTTTACCCGATTCCGAGACGTGGGTCCGGGGAGACTTTTTGGGGCGATTTTCTAATTTCTTGCTTTAGCTTTGATTTCAGTAGCTAGATTAGTTCCTTGTAGTTATATTTATGATATGTAAATGATTTTGGCTAGAGTTGGGCCATTCAGAGTCTAATTTTCGTGGAAAGAGCATTGTTACAGATTGATTGAGCTGGGTTTGAGGTAAGTGGCTTGCCTAATCTTGTGTGCGGGAAATCCCCTTAGGTTTTGGTGTTGTTATGATATATGAGCCCCGTGTACGCGAGGTGACGAGTGTGTACACAGGCTATTTGTGGAAAACCTGATTTGTACCGAGTAATAGCCTGTTTTCATCTTATCTGAGTATACTAGCATGTGTAGTTATCCCGTTAGCCCAGAATAGCATGCCTACGTGTCCTAATTGCCTATTTGAACTCCTTGCAACATGTTTAGAAGAATCCTGTTTCATTCTTGACTTGTACTTAGTCTAAATTATAGGTTTCGTGTTGTAACTGTTATATTCATTTGTTTGAGCTGCGTATTTACTTTGGGGCTACGGGACTGTATCCCGGGAGATCCCCCTGCATATTTACTTTTGAGACTACGAGGCGGTTTCTCAGGAGTTCTCCCTGTACATTTACTTTTGAGACTACGAGACGATTCCTCGGGAGTTCTCCCTGCATATTTACTTTTGAGACTACGAGGCGGTACCTCGGGAAATCTCCTTGCACTTTTATTTTTGGGACTACGAAACGGTATCTCGGGAGATCCCCTGCTGTTTATCCTTGTTTTCTGCGTTGCTACTTTGCTATGTTCTTTTTGTTTAAATTCCAGTCTCTTA